AAAATCTAATTATAACTTCAATTTTCTTATTTCTTTCGTGAAAGATGTGTCTATAGAGATAAAGCTCGATATAGATACTGAAAATCATCATACAATTAAAAAAAATATTAGTGATTCAAGGCAAATATCTCTATGTTATTTTGTCGCAAAAGTAATTTTAATGTTCAGTGACACCTCATCTGATTAAAGGCAGAAAAACGTTTCCGGCCATCATCAACTGCAAATTCAAACACATAAAGTACTTACGTTATTAGATAACTATTCCCTTTAAATTATGGTCTGGATATTGAACTACTCAGATGGTAAACAGTGTTTAAGAGAAGAATTACCTTCCAGATAAATAAATAGAAGGATCCACTAGAAGTTGGATTTGTCACATCTACGTCTTTGGCCCGGTACCAGAGAATTGAACCAAGAACAACATTTCCAAGACACTAAAACATACCACAGATTCAGTTTCAAATATTCTTCAAAACTTTAACTTTATATTCATTTATAATGATATGTATGTAAATATGCTTTGCATCATATTATAAAGTTGGAATAATCTACTCAGTAAAGACAACTTTCTAAGGAAATCTTTCTTTATCTAAATATAAATATATACATGCCAAATCGTAAGCAAGTAATGTTAATTAACATAAGGGATCCTGGTTGAACTTTTATAGAGAGGTTTAGAAGAAGAAAGAAATGAGTTCACTCTTACATTTTCGGCTTATACGACATTTGCTTTTACATATTTTTTTTTCTATTTACTATCGATAATGCAGCTTTTGCATAACTAAAACTCCAGATTATGTAAATATAAGAAACATATATACCGCGGCAAATTTAATCCAAAAGGGAGATGAAGATGATGCTCCTGCCAAGAAAGCAACTCCAAACGCCATTTCAAAAAGGGAAATACAAATCCAAAATACCTATCAAAGATTTAGGATCAATCAAATGTTATACAAAAATGAGATAAAACCAAAAGAAAATATTGAATTTAAGAAGCATACTTTTTTCTGGCCTAAACGTGCGGCAAAAGAATCAACGCCATGTTTTATATCTCCTTCTACGTCAGGTATATCCTACACAAATCCAATACAAGGTTTTACATTATCGAACTAAAAGCTTGATGTTGGAAAATTAGTACATGTCTTAAAAATAAAGACATTTACCTTGGATAATGCTATGCCAGTAGAATACAAACCCATGAACAGCAGAGTAACAATCAATGATCTTGTAAACACAAGTGGCTTCTTCAAGACAAACGTCTGAACATTTGTTACATCAATTAGTAATTTAGTAAATCCATTTCTGTGATGAAATTTGTTATTATTGTTTGAAACTCATAGTAATAGTTGGAGCATGCTAATTAAAAACTAAGATCTTGTTAAGAAGTGGACTTTAGCTTAACTCAACCTCACAAAAGAGTTTATATAGTGAGGTTTGCACCTACTTATATATTATAAATTGATCTTATCTCTAATCGATGAGACTTTCAACACACTCCACTCACGTCGAAATAAAATAAAAATAGTAAATAAAATAGGACACATATTTTTATAATTAATTGGTGTGTTCTTTTGTTTCTATGATTTTTTTTTTAAATGACCAGGTCCTCTCTATACACCAGAGTCTTTTTCTTTTCATTTTTGATTCATTTAATCAATGTTAGTGTTAACTTGTAGAGTTCACACTGTGGCTCTACCCATGCAACAATATTGAGTAAGTTGATTTTTTCACAACGAAATATAATTATATAGTAAAAGTATTTAATTTTGAAAATTTGCTGGGTCATACTTTATTTTTAATTGAAATAGTATTTTCTCCTCGAGCATGAGACTAAACATTAATGAGATCCGATAGCGGTCCAATAGCGAGTGGCACAATATGTCCAACAAACAACAAATATTGTTAGGATAGGCTTTAACCATAGCTATGATACTACGTTAAAAAGTGAACTTTAGTCTAACTCAACCCCACAAAACCGGCTTGTAAAATGAGGTTTGTACCCACTTATATATTATAAATTAACCTTATCTTTAGTCGATTTGAGACTTTCAACATATATGTAAAAGGAAAAGATTAGTGATAGGACACAACCTGCATATGAAGGAAGTATGGAATTGAAAATAACAATGTCATGCTAGAGGTAACTAATAATGCTGCCAGCACCGGATGTTGCTTCCATCGTAAGAAAGGAAGCTGCAAAGTTTCAGAACCATCAGATATTTTATATATATGTTTCCCTTGGCAACCTTGTAAGGGGAAAAAAGAAGTATAAATGCAAAAAGGACTCACATTCATTGAATAGCAATTCACTAATATAACGTTCAACACAAAGTTCCAAATCAGTGGCGGAGAACCTATCATCAAGTTAAGCCCCAAACCCTGTAAAAGAGAATAAAACGAATAACTATCCTTTCTCAATGAATCTCAGTTTAAAATCTTTTATCATGGAAAGGGATGAATCTATATGGTACCAAGATTGCAGATGCGGCAACAATAAAGACACAATTCTTGAAGGATAATTTCCCAGAGGCGAATGGAAGATGTGGCTTGTTTATCTGCATTAAAACATGTAGCATCTATTAGTTCTAAGAAATATCCAAAAGGTTCGTAAACTATAAAAAGGTACACTTTCACCATCCTATCAATGGATATAGCAATCATAGGAAGACTTTAGCTTCAAAATTATAAAGGGTTTATATTTATTTTTTTTACAAGAAACTATATAAGGACTTGTTAAGTAATCTCACCATTTTCAAGGTTGAAGTATATTACATTAATAAACTGTTCCAAAATGCAACTATATTTTCTCTTATTTTAATTAATTCGGTAATATATAAAATAGATGTTAAATTACTTTAATATGTCCCATAAACTGAATTAATTAACATAAAAAAAAATAGTTAGGTTTTCGGTCAAAATTTGGGAGCTACAGTTTGGCTGTACTCCCATTAAGAAAAACGTAGGAGTACGTCGTTCTCAATTGTGACAAGGAGTTTGAAAGTAAAAATTATATAAATTATTCAAATTGTTGTATTTGTGTAAACTTTGTTCTTAGCGTTTATATATATCAAGATATATATATATATATATATATATATATATAAGATGTGTAT